TAGTGTCTTTCGAGTCTTTTGGAGTCTTTTCAGGTCATAGATACGTTTGGAGCTTAACTGGAGACTTTGGAGCACTTTAGAGCTTAATCAGGATCAAATTCGTCAAGTATGGATTTTGTGCTTTAGTGATGCTCGACACCATAGAGAGTGATGCTCGACACTTGTCAGAGAAATAAGGAAAAGGCGATTTTGTTTCCTGTTTGAAGAAGGAGTTGGGCCCAAACGTTTTCAAGGAAGCCCAAGACGTGTCTTAGAGATATATATAGGATTTTTATTCCCTTTTTATGAGGACCTTAGATTTTCTTAGAGAAGACTTTTGTTTTTGAGAGCTTTTGGGGAGACAAGTCTGAAACTCTGTTCCGGAGAGAGAAGATTTCGAACCCCTGTTTATTTATCTATTTACTGCTTTCTGCAATCTATTCATTCATGTTTATTGCTTCAATCTCCATGTCTGAGTAGTTTGTTTGTTAGGTTTAGGGTTCTCATGGAGGATTTTCTCTGGATGTTTGATTAATTGATTTAGTTAGGGTTCATAATCTATTTAGTTCTTCACCATAGGTTGTTCTTAAAGCTAATTCTGGACTGGCCACCTAGAACTTAGATCTTAGGTTGCTTAATTGACATGGAAGTGTAATTGAATAACTGGAAAGAACCTAGGGTGAGCAAAGTAGCTATTCGCAAAGGAATTTGGTTTAGATACTCTGTGAACATATCGAACTTGAGCATTAAAGCTGGTTTAAATCTTTAGGGTTTGCAAAGGAATTTGAAATTCTAGGATTTTAACTTAGATAATTCTCACAACGGAAGTTGGTTAATTATAATTATGTGATTCGAGTTCAAGAACCGTGCTTAAACCTGAACCCTGATTAATCGATTGATCTGCATTCATTGATCTCCTGAGAAACGCCCTAAGCCTAATCTCCATCCATCTGAATCTTACAAACCGTTTTTTGCTGCTTAGTCTAATTCTGTTGCATTGCTATTTATTTACAATATTTCTGCTTAGCATAATTCGATCTCTATAAGGTTTATTGAGTGATCTCTTGTCTCTGTGGTTTGACCCCTACATACTACAACTGCACATTTGTGCTCTTGCAGAGTAGCTTAGGGATTAAACTTTGAGCAGATCAAATAGCTTACCCACGGAGATGTATCTAGGTAGCGAATTTCTGTCTTAACGAAGCCGCATTCTATACATTTCAAACCTATCTCCAGATCTAGATGGAGATCGTGTTTTCCGTTCTTGCAACGTTCCTTTGGATCATTAGTCGATTTGTCTTCATTAAGCTGCAGATATTACATATTGATATGAACATCCAATAATACAGAAATCATCAATAAAACGGAATAATTTACAAGTTTAAATTACCTCAGAAGGAACCTCGATGGCTTACGCAGTTGATTTGCTTAGGAAGTCATTCATCTCTTCTCACATATTATTTTGCTCCATCTCTGATTCAGAAATTGGAGGAGGTGATGGTATTTTTTCTACACCAAATCTCATGTTCAATGGTGGTGGATTAATTTTTAGTAATCCGTTTTCATCAAACTGTTTTTCTTGGTGATTCTCCATTTTTGTCTAGTCTCTTATCATGCGTTTAGGGTTGCAGAGTAAATTTTATATGTATTTTTATAATATAAGCTATCTCATATTTTATATAGGATAGGGTAGTTATAAAATATTCAATGTCACCACATTCTATGTTTTCTTGGGAATACTGTTTCAACCAACCTGTTTGACTTTTTCACTTTCGCTTTTGATAAATGGACATAATATTTACACAAGTCTTCTTCGTCTAATTCACATAACTTGACAACTTGTCTCATACAAAAATCTTTAAAAATTTGGATTTTCCTCTTTACAGTTTGATTTAAACCGCGATATATGGTAACATAATATTGTGCTCTGATAATTTCGAACTAATATTCTTATGAAGCAATTATTTATAATTTGAATTATCTAACCATATATTCTGGATTTTTTAAAATATAATATGAAGGATATTGATATATTGTTCTTACTTTCTATAACGAGATGCATATATTCTGGATTTTTTAAGGCGAGCTTCGCCTTCAAGGTATGTCTGGAATCTTCACTTTATGCTTTAATGTATGAGCTCGACTGATATATTTTTTGCTTTTATTCTCAGTTCATCGCGAGCTGCAACCGTGCGCGGGGTCAGTACATGCGCTGGCTCCATAATGGTGCCGCTCGGCTGAAGGATGCCCAGGCTGCTGGCGAAAAGGCAGTGAAAGAGCGTGACGCCGCCATCGAGGAGCGAAGGGTCGCCGAGGACAATTGGCAGACCATGAAAAGGAAAGCGGAGCAGCTCGATATAGGGGTTAAAGAGCTAACCGACAAGATCGAGGCGATGAAGCAAGAGAACCTCGATTTAGTGAATAACCTGCAGATCGTCAATGAGGCCAAGATCCAGGTCGAGAAGTCGATCGCCACTGAGGTCGTCCGGGCACAGCGACAAGTTGATGAGAGAATCGAGGCGGAGACGACCTGAATTTAGGCGGATGCCGAGGCGAAGTATTCCGGTCGCATCGATCGGCTGAGGATTCGGGTTGCTCAACAGGAGGCGATCGAGAAGGTTAAGCTCGATCTGGTTCAGGCTCGAGGTACATTGGAATGCCTTGATCTCTTATTTGTATATTCGTGTATGCCCTATTTAATCCATCTATATATTCACATCATACTTTTGTGAACTGCAACTTCATTTGTTACACTGAAAAAAAATTCTCAATATTCTTCATTTCTACTGCTATGAACAGGATAGGTAATCCTTTTGCATCCAACTTTATTCTATTAAGAATCCTTAGTATAGAACTACAGAGACTTAACCTTTATAACTTCTTATCATACATTATTTGTTTCCTTTTAACTGTTTTAACAAGTTCTTCTGATTGTTTTCAGAAATTATTCAATTTCATCTACCAAGAACAAATTCTCCCAAGCGAAACAAGGTGGACAAACTAATGAAAAATACAAAATTTATTGCTTGGATGGAGTGTAACAAGATATACCCAACTGCCAGATTCCTGCTCTACATTGAGTTATCTCATCAATTTGTCTGGAATGCCACATTGCATGAGTGGAGGCCACGGGTGAAGGGTTCAGGAAATCCAACTATTCTTCAACAGTATTTAATTTATGATGGGGAAAATTTTTATTTGGGTTGTCTGTTGAGTATCATTAGAGGTCCTCGCAGTTATGAAGATATCCGAACAGTTAATGGTGTTGTATACGACACCTTCAGAAAAGCTTGCTATGCAATGGGCTTATTCCCGGTCAATTAGAATTATATGTCTTTCTTAATATTAGTTTTAAAATTGCATGCTGAATATTTATTTCAATAAGTTACTTTCATTTTGTTGTTTTTCATCGTCTTAATTTTTTAAATTACTTTTTATGTTGAATACTAGAAATAGTAAGGTAAATCATCTACTAAATTCTACATTTTCCATCGTTACATATTACATAATTAATACAACAGTCAACCAATTAACATTTCATTAAATATACCGTAACTTATAATTTATAATTTAATTAATAAACTGTTATAATTGTAAGTTTAATGTATTGTTAATGTGGATTAATCGTAACTTAGTTGTTAATAAAATAAAATATATCTCAAATTTTGGAAATCTCTAATAAAATTAATCAACTTTTTAAATTTCAAATTTAAATGAAATACATAATATAGAAAAATGCGATTTATTGTTATTTTAGATAATTGCTGCGATGAGATATAAAAAATCTAACATTCCTGATAATTTGGAAAAATGTAATATTTTTAAATTAAAAAATATCAATTAAAAGGTCTTTATGTCTTACACAATATTGGATCTCATTCGATGTAAATAACAATTTCCTACATAAGCAAGGACAATTCTTCCTAAAAATTCCAGTGAATAATAAAAAATCAATAATAGCAAAAACTTATGAAAAAGATATACATTTCTCATTACCTACTGATCAAAATTACTTGTATTTATACTCTATTCAGATTTTGGTATAAAATACTAACAGTATATTTCCTGTCGAAAGTGAGCATTCACAAGTAATATAATTGTAATAACTCTGTGCCGACACAATGAATATAACAACTTTTTCAAATGTGATTCTCGACAGATGCACAATAAATATTATGTAGGAAAAAATGTATTTTTCTTTCATATAAACATATTTTTTGTACGTCTGTCTGAGGATCACATTAAAAGAATAATTGTAGTATGGGTTGTGTTTGAGTAAGTAATTGTTTGCTTGGTTAGTTGATCAAAATTTTCTTATGGGGTGTATATATAGAATTCTTAGAAAGTGACTCCTCATTTTTCTTCGCCTTGTTTCATATTCCCCAAAAGTCGTTTATAATTACAACATATTAAATAACATTTGACTGATTTATCACCATTTCCAAATGAATTTACATTTCGAAATAAATGAATACATCTTCGCATATAATTTATAAAATATGTTCATATATGTCACATTTCGATGAATAATTTACGATTTACGAACATAAAATTAATGTATGTATTCATAATTACATGTATTCTTCATCTACACTTTCTTCATTATACATACCTAATTATAATTACTTAATCAGTTATACATCACTTATTGTTCATATTTACATCAAAAAAAGTATAGCCAATTGTAAGACACAATCTAATTTTTGAACTAATAACATACCATTCGGCCCAAATGGGGTAACAATGTACCCACACACACTGTCAATTATCAATTTTATAAAATTCAACCCAATAAACTTAATAATATACCCAATACAAATAAAATTTATAAAAACATTCAAGCCCGCACATGTGTACGGGTCAGTATCCTAGTAACCATTAAATCAAGAAAACTTTCCTCACCACTAGACAAACCCATTTTAGACAAACCCATTTGTATTTTTGTTTTGTTGAAGTTAATTGATCTTTTGATTTTTTGGTATAACTATGGTAAGTTTGAAATAGTTTGTTTTTGAATAAAGGCACGACGCCCTTTCATCAAGTAATGAGAAGAGGAGATGCAAAAGTGAACGGTGCAACCGCTCTACACATTGCGGGTTTTAAACGCCAAATCGCTAGAGTTGCAATTTTTGAACAAAAGTGATGAAGACGTTACATGTAGCAGCTTATCATATCAGCTTCAAATCAGTAAAGCTGCTGGTAAAATGTTCTGTGGTTAACCGGAACATCCATAACCGGAATGGCATAACCGCTCTATATATCTTACATAACCAGAGAGAACATCACACGAACGGAAACATCATTCGAAAATCAGGAGGCAAGAGCGGAAACTCTACCAAAATCCAAGAAAGTGTCGGAGATCTAGCAGATCACCGATTAGTTTCACGGAGAATTTGCTCACGAAGACAAGCTCGGTATAGGAACCAGACATAAGTAGCAACACGCAGCTTGCTTCTAGTGATAGCCGCACTGATAATCACAGCTACTTATCAAACAGCTTTGCAGCAACCAGGTGGTGTATACCAAGAAAATGCATAAATATTTCTCTGTGCTTCGGAGTGTGAATGGTATTGCTTCTCTTAAGCAACAAGTGATGAGCTTCCTTCCAAGAACAAATATGTTGATAAACCACTCCATGAGATTATTGGTAAAGAATCTGGTAAATACAATACAAATACATCAAATCAAGTTTCATTTACAATCCACAAAAAATAATATAAAAAAGGATAAAGCCTATATTAGTTACTATAATAATACAACAACAACAACAAAAGAAACTTTCTTACTCAAAACGTAAGACTATTTAATTTAAGCAAATACAATGACCACGAGCTTTCTGCTCTGTCTATACTCTATATGTTTTTTCTTTTTCTGGTTTCTCCTCTAGGAAACAAATGGCCGATGTCTGCTTCTGCAGCCACAGAACAGAACCAAATCTGTCCTTTTTTCTTTCATGAGCAGAGTTTCTCTGGTTTTTTTTAGTGTACAAAATATACTTTCCTCGTCTCCTAAAGATTCTGTGTGTAGCTCAGTGTTCCGGTCTCTGATTACAATTGCTCGCGACCGATGACTGAATTCAATTTCTGCTGCAACTGTAGATAAAAACACAAGAGATGTTCGATGATTATGGTTCGGAGATAAGATTTACACGATGTGGTTTCAGTTTCAACAACTTGCAAATTCGTTCCCCACGAGTTGGTCACATGATACTTTGACGTTTAAAAGTGATTTTTCTTCTCGAGATCAAGAGTGTTAACTTACTTGGTTTTGTTTTGATTTTTCTTCTTCAAGTTCTTCCGACAATTCGTGCATTCTGAAGAAATTGAAATTTTCGAAACAATTAGAAAGACTAACACCACATTGATCTTCTATAAAAGATATGTTGGTTGATAGAAGAAGAGGAATAAACCTAGCCCGAAGCTCGGAAATCTTGTTAAGTAGTAACCTTTCTCTCTCGGAAGATGTGGGTTCAACAACCTGTGATCCGAAGACAAAAGCAAAGAATGTAAAGGGACATGATTATGAGACTGCATACGAAGTTTATGTCACATTAATAATCCCAAGAACAAAGTTGATGAATCTACTTACAGCTCCATTACTGTCAGGTCCTCGAGGCAAAGGCGGCAACTTTCCATTTTGAGAACCTATAATAAGGATGAGAGTTAACAAAGTCGCCTTACTTCATCGTTATAACAAACAAAATGAATTGAAGTCTCTATTATCTTACCATCTGTTGTTTCAGTACCTTGTAAGCTACTCAGTAGGCTTATAATAAGATCCTGAAAGTTACAAAGTTCCGTTAAGACAAAACAAAACCTCGAAGTTAAACAATCAAAGATATACGCGCGTTTCAGTGCAGTTTTTTTTTTTCTGTTTTCCCACACCTGTTGTAATGAATTTTGCTGGAACAGATTTTGAAGTTGAGGCATGATGAATGAGTGTGGCACAGGATGACTACTTAACTCCTTAATGGGCTGACATGTTGGCTGTTGCTGGAAAAATAAGATTGTTATGATTAGGAAACAATAATGCTGCCCAATTAAAAGAACCTGGAAGCAAACTGACCAGTTTAGATTCGAGTATCCAATTCCCAACACTGGCAGATTTTCTCAACGGGGATCCCTGCAGATTAAAGAGTATGAATTAACCAGGTAAACTCAGGCAACGAGAGTCATCAGTCTACAATGACAACGCAGAGACTAGAACTGTACTCAATGAAACATCCTAGATTAGGTTTGTCTGGTTAGTAACTGTCAAAGAAAGACAAAAATGATTAGCAAGAAAAGATAAACCCACCCTTGCAGGATCTAAGTTTTCTGATGTTACTGAAAATCTTCCTTTGACTTGAACCAGATTAGCCTTCGACTTGTCATCCAGAGAATCACGGAATCCTATTCAGGAAGATGGACAACCACTCTAAGCTTAACTACAGTAGAAGCAACAAAAATAATAAGCTGCATGACGAAAATGTACTTGCTCACCTCCAGAAGATTTTATAGGAGCTGAAAAACTGTTTGCTGAAGCACGGTTTGGAAGATTCAATGGACCACTAAAGCTGGGTGCCCTCGAGACCGTTGGTGCCGCCTGGCGTTCACTCTCAGGCCTATCAGATAGCAAATTTCAAGTTGGAGCATTTGGAAGTTCGGAGAGAAAGGAGAAGCAGATCTGAAGCGTAGAAAACTGTAATCCAATGATCTCTAAAACATTAATTAGGTAATGACAAACCTTGCATAACCATGGCCCTTCTCTGAATCCGGATTGGTTAACAAAATACCGGGTGAAAGTGGTCCACTCTGAGTCTGCCGTCTCACTGGCTTAGCCTTGGCCTGTGGAACGTCGTGCTCTGAACTTGGTGTCGTTTGTTCAACAGAAGGAGCGGTTGAATTGAGAGTGAATTTATCTTCACAGATCGTTTCTACCACCTCAGTCTCTGAAACTTTTTCCTTTCCGTTGATGTTTTCAGATGGCTGTTGACGACCAGATACCTGTCCTCTGTCACTCACCTGCAATGTTTTCAAAATTAAGTTCAAACGACCATGGACTTTGATACCAAGAGAGTGAAAAATTATAAGATGATTGCAACTGAATATTTATTTGCAACTGGCCTTATTATGTAACTGTTCGTCAAATAGTTCATCTTCTTCCCTACTCTCTGCCAGACTGTCATCATCATCTAGCTATTGCACACACAGAAAAAAAGTATGTAAGCACAATTTTTTTTATGGGAACCAGTGGTTTCTCAAATAGCATTATTAAAGAAATACTATCAAAACATAGCTTACCAAAGATGCTTGTTCTTTCAAATCTTCAATATTAAAGTTCCAAGCACTTACTCCTCTTTGATATTCACTCTGACATGAAAAAAAACTTTTTATAAGCATTCTGCAATTCGAGTCTTAAGTCATAATTTTAAAAAAAAATTTCACCTGTGACATAGCTTCCTGGTCAGCAGAGGCCATTCCTTTCAAAGCAAGCTGAGCAGCATCCTTGGCCTGTCATACAGTGACTCTATCAATTATAGTAGAGCAAGAAAAATACAGCAAGCTTGAAGAAGAGATAAGCATGGCAAACCTGAAGAGCTTTCACACGGGTCCAAAGAGGTGGCAAATCAGCAAATAACTTTTTCACACAGATCTCTGGAGGCTTTGCATTCTTGAAAAATGAGTGTTTCAACAACTTTTCAGCGGTTGGCCTTTTTGTTTGATCTTTCACCAGACACAATGCTACCATTTCTTTAAAGGACTGGGCGCAGCTGATCAGTTTCTAATTAGAACTTACTTGCAACGAAAAAATAGCATAAGAATCCACCTAGAAAGAACACAAGTACCTTTGAAAACTTTTTATCACGGTCATAATCAAGGCCAGGCGGCGCATTTTGAATAGTCATTAAGAGTACCTGTTACGGAGGAAACGGAATAAGATCTATTCTCAATACACATATGAAAAGTATTAAATACCTTCATGGGAGGATATTTTGAGAAAGGTGCATGACCATGAGCCAACTCCAGCGCAGTTATTCCAAAAGACCAGATATCAGCTCTGTAAGAAAGGGACAGAAGACCAAGATAACCAATAGCTGTTATAGCATTTCTTTGATTTCTAGAGAAGTTTTATTTCATTTGGCAAAAAAAATACTCGCTAGGATAAAAGTAACTAAGAGAAATGATAATAGCTGTGTGGCTAAAACAATCACAACACTATCTAGATCAGCTAAAATCAGCCGCAGTCGATTTTGACAAATTTGGCTAACAAATATATCAAAGTGAACTATCAGCTATATTTGAAAGGTACCAGGCAGAGAAGTATAGCATTTTAGCTGGCACATGAGTATCAAAACAAAAACTTACTTCGAATTGTATCCACTTCCTGGCTGCAAGACTTCCGGTGCCATCCTACAAAGAGAAGCAACATATTACATGTCAACCGTTTAAGTAAAGAACAGTTTTTTAAGCTTAAAAAGAGCGAACTAAAGAAAACTACTATAACCAACCAGCATGGAGTACCAACAAATGTGTTTCTTGCACGTTGCCTATCGCCAGTGTCAAACAAGCATGCCGAGACACCAAAATCACCGAGCTTAATCTCCCCAGTGTTATCAAGAAGTATGTTTCCAGCCTAATATGAAAGGCACACAAAGAAGTTTTGAATGCGATATTATAAAATAACAGTGTGAAACAGAAAAATAAACACAATTTCAACTTAAACTAACCTTAACATCTCGATGGATATGCCCTTGTCTATGAAGATAATCAAGAGCTTTAAGAGTTTCTTTCAGCATAGAACATATAGCCGACTCTTCGAATCCATCTGGATATGCTGCCTTCATAAGGTGCAAGCACGAACCCTGAGCCATGAAAGGCATGACGACCCAGAGATTGTGATCAACAGCAAACGAACAAAACGACTTAATAACGTTCGGATGGTCTATCAAACTCATGGTCTGAGCCTCCCTCCTTATATCATCCTAGAAAAAACCAAAACAATACATTCATTACGAGAATCACAAACAATAAGAAACTAACTGAAGCATGAACAGCACTGCAAAATCCAAAAAGTGAAAGAACAGATCTAAACACTCTCCCATTTGATCTAAATGATAAAAGCAACCGATTCCAAACGCAAACTGTGAAGTTGATCATCAATCATATACAAGAGGATTCGTTCGTCGACTAGCGGTGAAATCATCTAAGACTTAATAAGCTGATTCAAAACTCTACTTTGTGTCTCGAAATCGAAATCCCCAACTCAAAAATCTACAACTAAGATAACGAACAAATTACAATCGAAAACGAAATCGAATACGGAAGCTGAAGCTATAACTCAGAAACAAAACGAGATTCGATTTAAGAAAACGAACCAGATTGCTATTGCAGCGATCGAGATCCAAACACTTGATTGCTACGACTTCTTTAGTCGGGAGATAAATTGCTCGATGGACAACGGCACTAGCACCATATCCAACTTCTTCCATAAGCTTGTAATCTTTAGGGTTTACAGAGAAGCCTTTCTTCTTACCACCATCACCACCACGAACACGACCACCACCAGTCGCCATTTTCTTACGCCGTCTCGCACCCAAAATAGCCCTAAAACCACCAAATCCGACTCCGTCTTCAGAAAACAATCACAGAACAAAATCGAATCGAAGAACTAAACGGGGAAAATTTTAATTAAAAAAAAAAATCTGGAGTAGGAAAGAGAGACTAGTAAGTACTCTAGAACAAGACGAAGCCGAGACACCATTGAAATTGTAAACTACAACTTTTTTGTTTGTTTGTTTTTTTTTCTTTCTTCCTTTCGTTTCTTCGGCTCGACTGTGCTCATATTTCTGATCAAAGTTGACCAGCAGAGAATTGAGAATTGCTGACGTGGCGAGACTGTTAAGCATCTAACATTATGACACATGGATTTAGTGAAGAGATTTGACGCATCCACAACTTTATCTTTGGGCTAGCTCACGAGTGACATTGACTGATGGACTTTGGTTGGCGTTGAATAAGCAGGATGGATTGTTTTTTTTTTTATCAACGAATTAGGATGAATGAATATTCATGGATTCTCATTTTTTTAATATCGAAAATAAAATATTATTACTAGTACAAATGTACATTAATTATTAAATATTTATTTCTATTACAAATGTGTTGTCAAAACAAATGATATCATTTTTTAGTTATATAAAAATAAAATAAAATTTTAAAATTATATAAAAATAAAATAAAAATGTCTAATTTATTTTTGTCTTTGAATATTTTGGGAAAGATAAATCTTACATTTAATTGCATCCAATATTTATAAATAAGATGTAAATTACACTAATATTGTAAAGATATAATCAATTTTACATAATTTTACTATAATCGGTTATTCAAGTATAATAAGTTTATGGGTCATGACCTAAATGATCCAAGAAAAGAAAATACCAACAGAATTCATAACACATTGTTCTGAATCTGTGAAATCGATAGTTACACCGAAAAATTTGTCAGTACTCACGATGTATTTAGTTGAGTAAGTTAGGATTAAAAAAATTGTTTTACAAAGTTAGATGGTCGAACCATAGAACATGATATATAGTATCATTTTCTTCCAAAACCGTTGGAATAGCAGGAGTGGAAGCATTAGAACCATCCCATCACACAGCAACAACATCAATTGGCACATCAAAGGTTAATTGGTTGATCAGAGCAAATGAGGCATTTAGATTCTTTATGACCTAGTTGTCCACATATTTGCACTTGGTTGGAAGCCAAGAATACTCTACATCAACTATAGAAGTATTGCCTCTTACATTTTCAACTGTAATTAATCCTTTCCGAGAAACCTTTATCTAGCTCTACATCTACCACAAGCTTAGTCTTTAAGAAGTACATTATTAAACTCTTATCAAAACTCTATAAGAAATTGGGCTTCGTAAAATTGAGCCCGTGTGTTGTTTTGTAAAACTCAGATTTGTATGAATTATAATTGATTTCTCTAATCGTCAGTGAACAAGCAAAGCCCTAGCTTGACCAAATTAATAAAGGAAAAGAGTAAAGACAAAATACAATTCAATTCATCTTAATTATATTATCACAAGTTCACAACCAATTATTGTTTGACGAGATCATATATATTATAAGCAAAGTAAAATTTTAGTTTTAAGCTCTCTCATTCAATTTTAAGGTAGCTAATTACTTTCTGCCCCTCCTTAAATTTGTTTAAACATATTTTTATAAAAACAAATTAAAACAAACAAAAAATGTTGGCCGTATTAGGTTAAAAAAATTCCAACCGAGAAACTAACTTAATATATATATATATATATCAAGCTACTACCTTATTTTCTTAATCGTTGTTGATTGTTTGTTTTACGTGGATCTAAATTCATGGTAGATTTATTTTAGTTTTTGTTTAGAAGGGTGCGTGGTTAATAATTTGATTACTGAAGAGTTAGCTACCAATCGGTGATAGATTCCAAATAAATGTTCTAGGTTTGTTCTGTTTCTTATAAACAGAGAAGACATAGCCCATGTGTTATTCTTATAAAAACAACTTCGTTTGCCTTGCACGTAGAACACCACGAGGCTTCCAATTGCTTTTGATTATGTTAGTTTGGTTTTTTTTCTCCTTTTTCAGATTTGTTATATTTATTTAATTGTATAGTTTGTGATCTTTGATGAGCGATCGACTCATTTTTATAATGTTTTGTTTTAGGACTTTGAAATATGTTAGATCAGTCTATTTAATAAATTTGGATTTAACTTATCTGTTGTTGTTATTGGGTTATAGGTTGTCTCGGTGGCTGGTTGTATCTATTATCGAGATGCCAAAAGGTAGTGTTTGAGCTTAGTTTTGTGGTTATATTTGTTTGTTACACTTGTATTTTGTAGTTACGTTTGTGTTTATGTTCGTTTGTTTATACGGTTTTTTTGGTTTTCTTGCTTACTGGTAGATTCTCAGCCGTCTGTGTTTGGTTTTTTTTTTTTAGTTGATGGTGTGGGTCTAGACATGGTCGCCTGCGAGTTTGTATGGTTCTCGTGTTGTTTATGGTTTTTTTGTTGTTGTAGTCTGTTTTTTTTTTAAAGATTAAAGTGTTTGATGGAAGTAAAGTTTCTAACTGATTAGTTTTACACTCTTCGTGGTTTACTGTAACTTTTTTTTAAAAAAAAAGATTAAAGTGTTTGATGGAAGTAAAGTTTCTAACTGATTAGTTTTACACTCTTCGTGGTTTATTGTAAACTTTTATGTTCTGCGAGCTGTTTTTTTTTTTTTTTTTTGCTATTTTTGTTATCATCTCTTCTTTATCTCTCTTTTTAAAAAAAAATTGTTTTAGCAACTAATATGGGTTTTATTTTTTGTATTTTCTTTTTTAGGGTTCGTGTTTACTTATGTGGAGGTGGTTGTGGTGTTTACGGGTCTGATTTTTGGTTTGGCTGAGTGATTTATCTGCATATTATTTTTTGTACTGTTCTTAGTTAGGGTGTTTGTGATCTATTTGTTATTGATTATGTGTCTGCATGTTATTTTTTGTACTGTTCTTAGTTATGGTGTTTTGTGATCTATTTGTTATTGATTATGTGTTATTGGTTGGTTTGATTTTAAAAAATTACTTTTTACCTTCGATAGGGTACCTTTTTTTGTGTGTTGATTGTTGTTTCTTTTGCTTTTTAATTTTGGGTGATAGTGGTTCTCGATTTTCATTTTCTTGTTTTTGTGTTCTTGGTTGTGCTGTGTAGGTGGGTCTCTCTTTGTAGTTGTTTTATGTTCACTTGCTAAGTATGTTCGTATTTTGATTGGATCTATATGTTTAAGATTTATTCATCTCTGATCAATTTTGTGCTAATATTGATGCTGATGAATGTATCCCAGTCCTGAGACGTGAGATTACATACACCTAGATCTTGATCACAACATATCCTTTCAATTCCACCTGTAAGACTTTTGACTTTTGTCTAATATTATTCATAAGAGATTCTATATTTTTGTTGTGATTACAATAACTCAGGTTTGTAAGTTAGATCTAATTAGATTTTTTGTGTATTTTATTTTTTAAAACAGGTGTGGACTCTATAGCCAGGTCGGAGATCTCTTCCAGACTATGATAAGATCAGGTATTCAGGTTCGGATTCTATCGCTTTTTCTCTTTGTTCACGGTTTGTATAGCCATTAATCTCTTTCACATAATCACAAGTAGAGGAGAAATGAGATCGGTCTTAGTAAATCTCAAAATTCTGACGGTGCGATTCTAGATGATTTTTGCAGTTGAAACTGTTAATTGTTACGAACCGATCCTGAGTTTGAAATTTGTTTGTGTCTGTGTGTGTGTGTGTGCGTATGTTTGTGTTTTGGCCATTTTGGATTTGGATTGTTTGAGGAAAAGATGGGAGCTTAGAGTTGGAATGCATCGTTACAATTTGGTTGGCTGATTCCTATATCAGCCAATGTCTTGGTGAGACAATCAGATTCTTTATTGGAAGAGAAAAGAAAGATGAAAGCAATGAAAAAAATGGGATAGTATATTCTTGCTATATTTCACTTGGTTGTATGGTTTTTGATTTTCTTTAACGTTAATAATATAACTCCATGGTTTTGTTCACTACTGCAGAAAGATTAAGAGGCTGCGTATAAGTGGTGCTTTGGTTTTCTAACACAATCGATTTTGTGCTTTGTATCGTTGTAAGTTTATCGTTATTGTTATTGTTTTTTTTATTGAGTTTAAGTGCTTTGGTTTCAAGTTGCTTTTTGTTCGTTCTCCGCCAGTCAAAATGAAAGCATGGTGCTGTTCCGGTTGTCCGATCTTCGGAGGCTATAGCCTATCCTGGGACACCAACAAAACTCGGGAACGGTATTTTTGTTAGGCCTTCTTCTGTTGCCATGGGGGAATCATGCAAGATGTTCTCTTTTTCACAATGACAATAACGGAGTCGAACGTTGCGGTGACCGAGGTTTTGTTAAATCAGATAATTTTCTGTTTAGTTTTAATCCAATAGCTACAGCTTACAGGTGTCTCTCGGTTGATCCTGGTCTATACGATTCAATGATATTCGTGAAGATCCTTCGTGTTCGTCAGGAGAAGGCTCGAGCTTGTATTATGTGACCAGCAGGTTTGCTATATTTGTACGTTTGTTATGGTAATGTTTCTTCGTATTAAATGTATTAACGTTTTTGTTGCACAGGGTATGAAGATACAAGCGAATTTCTCTATATTAAGCTAGAATGTTAGACAGAGCACATGATTTCTATCTATCATACCGCTGCCTTCACTGCCACTGTTAAATTTTTGGGCTTGAATTCAATTCTCACTCATTTGAATGGGTTTTGTGTGTTATTGTCTCTTGTGTTCAGTGTTTGGATATTTATGTGTATTCATATTTTCATTTTGTTTTTCCTTTTTAGTAGGAAAGGCTGAGATTGTTTTTATTACTCTCTTAGATTTGGTTGCTCTTGGATATTTTTTTGGTTCTTTTATTTTACTTGCGGGGAAGACAGTGAAAAGAACAAGAAGAAGAACAAGAAGAAGAACGTAACTATTGGCACTTTGATCTTTTGCACATTCCTCAGACTAAGATCTTTTTTATTCCGAATTGTTTTTGTAAATTTTATCTTTAGGTAACACTAATCTTATTTGGTCTTTTAAGTAAATAAATATCTTCCTCTTTTAGTTTCTTTACGGGCTACACCGGTTTCAATAGGAAATGCATTGAAGTACACTTTATGTAGACGTTTGGTTTTAGTTCCCCTGTTGCTATATGTTAGAAAAACCTTGAAACGATTATATGACTCACAAACAAGAACCTGTAAATTTTAGTTG